TAACAAAAGGCAGAGGGAGCACTTAGTTTTTGAAATCACAGGCTATTCCTTATACATACGGAAGAACTGAATATATATAAACATACATTTTGTGAAGTATTGCAGTACATGCAAGGGGAAGTACTTACCACTGTAATGCGTCTTTTCTTTTTCACTAACACCCACCATCATCCCAAAGTAAAAATCAATTTCTAAATGAAATAGATCATGTTGAAGCTGGCAGTATAAGAAATGTGAGAAAAGATTGCCATCTGGAAAATGAGTATTAATAACTAAAGAACTTCAGGTTCTAACATAAATGAAAGATACTTAAAAGATCTTGACAATATTCCTCTTTCACAAAATTAACTATATTTTATTGTGTTGAAAAATGAATTGGAAGTCCTCAAATACATTACATGAATTTGCTAAAAATAATTTAGTAATATTAAAAATTGACAAAGAACATGCTTTTCTCTGGGAAAGAATGTGTGAAATTGTGTCATGTTAATTGAACACTGCTGTGGTAGGCAAGTAAGATGCTGATTTGCATGCAGTACAACCAAGAATACACTCTGTCTCCAGAACTGGGATTTTTTTTTAAGATGGATGGGAAAAAAGCTGCACTTGGGGCATTAGCTTTGTTTGATCCCTTAAATGGAAAATTAGTTTCTATTGCAATTTTCCCTACTTCTTTGTATTTAGAAATTATGAAGGAAAGAATACACTTTGTTCACCTCTCTCAGTGTTATGCCATCCAGTGAGGCAAGAGAAGAAAACTATCCCTCTGCTGCTGCTTGCTGTTTGTTCTGCCTGTATGACTTGAAGGGGGGAATGTCTGCTTATATTCTCTTCAACTGAGCTAGAATGTATGCATGGCTGTATGCCTAATAGCAGGGTGTTATGCCTACTGCAAATGCAGCTTTTAGGATATAATCCAACCCTTGTCATTTTTATCCTCCTTCAGAATCCTGGGAGTTTAAGAGTATTAACTCAATCTCTCATTGTTTGCCTGGACCATAAGGTGTAAAGTTATAGATCAGTTTTGGCTATGCTTTAGGGCAGGTTACATGAACCAGAGAAACAGAGGCAGACATCATGCAGAGAGAGGATAATGCAAAAAAAAGCAGAGAGGAACAATGAAGAAATATTACAGGGACTCCTAAGGAGAAGTCTGAGGTCCTGGTTCTATTGCTCTCTATCCTATAAATGCATCTATAAAAAGTCAAACAAATTCTTTTTTGTTATCGTGGGCATCTTTTAGAATGAGTGACACTCATCCCAACTGGGGTAACAAGAGAGGAGAAAGAAATCACCCAAGCTAGACTATATATTCTTCATTAGCAAAGGCACCACATGCAGTGGTCCTGGCACTGCTTTAAGCCTGGCGCAACAGAAGGTGCTGAGTAAATATCTCTTGAATGAAGGAATGATCATATGTAGGGATAGAAGTGATGGAAATAAATGGGGCAGTACATGAATTCCCTGTTATATCAAGAGGCATATTAAGCACAGATATTTGAAAATCTGTAGAGAGACAATGTAATATAGTGGTTAAGGGCATGTGCATTGGAGCCATATTTGAATGGAATCCCATCTTTACCACTTGCCAGGGATGTGATCTTAGTGGGGGTAACCTCTCAGTGCCTCAAGTTCCTTATTTGTAAAATGGGAATAATTACATTGCCTACCTCAAATAATCTTTGTAAAGGCTTAATAAGCTAAAAATTAGTATGTAAAGTGCTTAGAACAATGACTGCTACATGGTAACCATTCTATTAACTGTTATTTTTATAACTTAAAAATCTACTACTAAAAATCTAGACAACAGCACTTATAAACAAATTAAGTTTTGTAGCATCCTCTAGTTTTCTTCATGTCTCTTTGCCCTATCCTCCAGAACAGTTTCCAGTGTTGGACAACAAAGAGGATAGGAAAGGTTCTCTGAGATCCTCACTTTCCAGGTGAAGGACCAAGGCCCAAAGACTACTACATCTCTTTTGGCAGAACCAGACCTAGAATCCAGATCTAGTTTCATGTTATTCTCAAACACTGTATTTAGAGCAAAAGATTATAAATGAAGTGTATGTAAAATGGCTGCCCATCACTGAGCTACTAAAAGCTTTTATTATAGGACTTCAATATTTGATTTTTAAGCCTTGTTTGGCAAAGGTAATCAAAAGTTATAGCCCTTAGTAATTTGTATGATTTTTTGTGAACTAATTTATTATATACATTAATTGTAGTAGGGTCTTCTTTTTAAAGTTATGGAACTTACATGAAATTGATGAGAAATGTTTACAGTAACATGAAGGTCATTGTGACATCCCAGAGCCTAAGGATATAATTTTTATTGAAAGCAAACAGACAAACCGATTGGTTTTCTAAAACCAATTCTTGAGTATTCTAAGAGGAACTTCAGTCATAAAACAATTTTTAGCATTATTCAGACTAATTATCATTACAATGCAAGCTGTTGCTTTTGTGTGTCAACTTCCTCTAATCTGGATAGGTGTTCAGTGTTCATGTATTTTAGTGTGCCACAGCAGACGAAAAGTAAACTTCCACTGTTTTTTCCTTACTGTCTATACTTTAAAGCAATTAGAAATCCAAGGCATTCATTTAGTTGAGAATAGTGTTTTTATCACTAATTCTATTTCTGTTTTTAGAGTGCATACAAATAATAAATCATTTAAATATAGTTTTCTTTTAATGTTATTTTATACCTCAACAAATACATACTTAAGTTTAAAAGTTGGCAAAAATTACCAAAGAACAGCTGAAACTCAACTGAGTTTCAAGGAAGTCATATAAGATTCTCTGAATTAAAAGAAAAATTTGCAATGGTATTAAAATTCTGAAATGACAAGTCAACCACTGAATATTTAGATTCTAGCTCATAATAACTTTTCCAGCAGAATATATCCAGAGAAAAGAACCTCAAGTGACTGGTTATCGCTTCTACAATATATTTTTTTCAACAAATCTTTCAGTTACACCACAGATTACTCTAATATTTCCTGTATTCTTCAGAACCAATATTTCTCTCAATAAAATGTATTAACAGAGAAGGTATACTATAATCCAGCAGAACTAAACTATAACAAATATCTCTACCTAAGAATCCTTCATTCCAAAGACTATGCAGAAATTAACTCATGTGCCAAGTTTAATTTTAATATTATACAAAGAAAGAAGTCCTCTGTTTTACCATCAAAATCATAAAAAGAACAATAAAAAAACCACAGAGATGGTACATACCATGTTAACTGGAGAAAGGAAAACACAAAAAGAGCTGCTAGGGCAAGCCTGTTGGTATGGTCAATACTATTTTTCAATAGTCTCTCTCAAATTTATTTTTGAAATCTCCTTCTCAGATGCAGTAATAATAAGGAGCTGTGTTTGAAAAAAAAAATATGCCTTTCAGCTGAATATCAGATGTTCGAGTGTTTCTCCTCCATATCATTCTGCTCTCTTGTGGTGAATACATTGTTTGATAGTTGTTAATATATTTTCTAAGGTTAAAGAAAAAGTGAGTTTGAGATCAGTTCTGCAAGTGTCTCAATATTCAATCTGTGTTTAATCTGACATAAAGATGTAGCTATTTACATTACGTAGGGGTAATGTTTTCAAAACTCTTCCACATATATAGCAATACTCCAATACATTTATGGAATCTCAATACATATTAAGAATATGGATAAAATTTCAACTTTAAATAAGGTTTCACTAGTTTCCAGATAGTAGAAGAACTAGTTGGAAGATGCCCTTAAAAAATGTAATTTGGTTTTACCAAGCCAAAAAAATGTGGATATATTAAACATACAATACATATATTTTCTTTTAATTTAAAGCTTCTATTATTTAATACTTAGGCTGATTATTTCTTTCCAGTTGCATTTAATTTTATTAATTACATAATTTTAAATAATGTTTACAAAGTGAATTGTATCAAATAGTAGTATTTGTTGAGGATTGTTGCTGTATAAATAGACAGGTAGTTATAATTCAAATCTCTGATGTTACTTACAAATTTCTAGGCCACCAAACAACAGACATGTGTTCTGTTTAACAAATCTGCTGCAGAATAACTACGAGTTGTTGGAAGAGATCTTAATTATGAAGGGTCATCTCCATAATACCTTAATTTTATAAAAGAGAAGCTCTAAAATTACCCCAGAATGACAAGACATGCCTTTGTTTCACTCAATTTAATTAAAACGCTCTATTTCTTCTACAAGAATAAATTAGGCACTTGTTCAATCCTAAAATTCTTTGATTAATTGAAAACAAAGTTGCTATCTCTTACTAAAAGCCCCTATATTTATTAGTGAGCCATTACCATACAGGAAATAAATAGATACACTTACCCGGAATTCAAGTTGAAAAAGCTAAAGACTCTTGATAAAGTTTCAATAGAAAAGAAACTGAAAGAGCAGTGTCCACTACCTTCAGATCAGGCTTTTTGGCTTTACAAGTGGCAGCAATACCAGTTTTGGCCCAGTACCACTGTGTTATGTAACATCTTATTACTATTAGCCATCAAACTGCTACCAAGCTGGCGAGGCACTAGAGGGCAAGAGTGTCACATCCAAGACCCGTCGCCAAGGGACAGCCTTTGGTACCACTTCGGGAAGACAGATGCTAATTAAGCTGATAAATAACGCGATGCCTGAACGCCACAGCGAACTTGTAATGTTCCTCAAAGAATATTTTAAATGTCAGTTTTCTGACTAGCTGAAGAGTTAACAGGTCAATAAATATTCATAAGTAAATCACACCATGCAAAACTTTCGGGATTATATTTACAAACCTACAGTCATCCAGGAGACTATACTTTTCATTGTCTAAACAAACTTACTTAAAACGGCAGAGGAACGGCTAATTAAATAAAACGATGGACAGGTTTCAGGACCCCTTCCAGCCACGAGGAACTTGTCCCGATTCCCGTGTGCCGCCTCCGGAGTCCGCACTGCAAGTGTCCCTGTTCCGGTGTCCGGCCCCTCAACCCAGGTGATTACCTCGGGCGCAGGCGTCCGCGGGATGCTCCTTCCCCGGACGTTCGGCCTCAGCGGCTCCCCGAGGGGGCGACGCGGTTCCCGGAGCCGGGGGCGGCCCGTCCCCTCGCGCCCGAGGTCCCGCGCTCGCAGCCGGGGGCGATTCGGGCGGGTCTGGAGCGCGGGCGGCGCGGGGCGCGGGGCGCGGGGCGGGAAGCGGCTGCCGGGCGAGCGCAGCGGGCGCGCCGGAGAGTCGTGCGCTCGCACCGACGCGCATCGCGGCCCCGGGACCCGCCCGGCCGCGCCGCCGCCGCCCTCACGCCGCCTCCCTGCGCCCAGCCCGCGCGCGCCCGCCATCCTGGGGAGGGGCGGCGGGAGACGGGAGATGCAGCTTCCCCGTTCGCCCGCCTTTCGCTTGGGTTGGCTCCGCGGATCAGCCTCTCTGGGTCTTGGCTTGGGGACCCCGGGAGTCCCGAACTCGGCCGGCCAGTTCCGACGGCCGCTACGGGCGGGTTGGCGGCGGCTGCCAAGGATGAAACTGGTCGCGCCGCCTGGGAAGTGGATGCAGGTCCCTGAGGCGGCACTCGGAAGGTGGGGCTCACCCTCTCCGTCCCCTCTGGTCACGCTCCTGCTCGTGACACTGGAGCTGGAGAAGTCGCGGCGGGCGGCTTCGAGGTTGGGTACCAGTAGTTGCCTCTGTTTGCCTAGCCCATGTGTTTCAGATCCCGAGAACAGTGGGAGGCTAGCAACTGAAGCAACATTTTGGATACAAGGTGTAAGGTTATATTCTTACAAACTATAGTTAGATTAGAAGCCTCAATCAGATGATTTTTTTAAAATCATATTTTGATCCACTAATGGCTTTAGTACGTTTTAATAAGTGGGGGTCTACTAAAAATAACTTGTGGATATTTGTGGTTTTGCTTCCCAGCTACTCACTCCTCTTTATGGAAACAATACCCCTGTTTATTTTGGAAGATCCAGCCACTGCCCCTCCCCTTTGCCTACTTGCTTCAGGTTGTCAACCACTACTCTGACACACTGGGTGACCCCCAGGTCTGGTCATCGGACTCATTATGTCATCTTGATAGCTGGGATTGGTTTACAAAAATGTATGTGACCCAAATCTGGCCAATCAGAGACAAAAAGTCACCATTGTAGGACTTACTTTGCTCCCGGCAAAGACATGGACTTTATTGTATTGGACTTTGCAGAGTGAGATGTGAGCTTGGAGCTCCTCGTGTCATCATGTGAAGTGTGGAAATGAAGCTAATACTCAAAGAGGCATACCTGGGAGTTGGAGATATGCTAAATCCTGATGGGAATATTTGAGCTCTGAATCCAGCTATGGCTAAAACAAGGTCTCAATCCTGGATATTTTGAAGCATAAATCAATCAATTCAGTTTAACCTTAAGGCAGCTTGAGTTGAAATTTCTGTCTATTGAAATTCAAAGAGACCCAAGTAATACAGAAATTAAACGTTTGGTTGTTTCTTAACTTTATGAAGGCATTTGGATACTGTAGAGCAAGATCTTTGATTAGATTCCCAATGTCCTGAGTTAGTTTGGACCTTTAGACTGAAGCCTGAAAGCTGTATATCGTTTTTGCTGTGTATGATAGAGAGGTTACAGAAGTGACTGAACCAATGTCCTTCTGAAAGCCAACAAAAATGTGAAGATGGTAGATTTCTTTGGTCACATGACACGTATTAGATTGGTTTTATTTATTTTTAAGTTGTGGTTAACTACCCATTGGAAGTTTTGTGCCTTTTGGGAATTTTTAGAACCTGCTCTTTAAAAAATACTCCTTCCAGAGAGCCTGCTCTGTCATCCATATGATATGTCATCTATAGCATACATTAATCACTCCCGTTATCAAAAATAAATTATTGAACAATTACTAAATAGCTCTGGGAATACAATAATATTTTTAAAAGAAAAGAAAAGCAGGAATCTTCCCTGCCTTTTAGTTACTCATAATGTATTGATGTAGGGATAGGAGGTCAGGCTTTTCTACAGGATTTCAAGAAATAGACAAGATTCATGAATCCAGACCTTCCAAAATATTTCAAGGTACATAGGTAGGCTCAGAAATGGCATTCGTTTTTTCTTCTTTCTTTTTCTGTCTTTCCTGCCCAAAAACAAACAGGAAAAAAAATAGAAAACTTCTACAAAATAAGGTATTTAGTACTTTCATGTCTATATCTTGGGATTTTCCTCAGTTAGGTTTGCCTGATGGCACAATCAAATTTTTTGATGCTTTGGGGAGAATTGCTACCTTCACCAGTGACTGCTATTTCCAGCCATCCATCAGGAAGTACAGACACCATAGGGTTATACCATCATTTCCTCTGAGAGTGTCAAATCTTGTAATTCTATTCCAGAAGTTCCCATCCACGTTCATATAACATTTTAACCCAGTGTAATAGCAGATCTTTATGTTGCCTTTATTTCCTTCCTCTTTACTTGCCCAGCAAAAAAGGTAAGGAGGGAACAGATAACAGTGTCAACCATTGCCTCCTCCAGTCCTTTCTTCCTATTTTCTTCTTCAACACAGGACCCTTAAGGCCAGGGAACAATTTTCCTCCAGAGAAGCATCCCAGTTCAGTGTAACACAAGTAGTAGACAACAACGAACTTGTGGCAGTGGGTGAGCCTGAAGTGGAGAAGGCATTCTGGGCCAGGGCCTCACATTGGTGGAGCACCTCAAATTTAGTCATCTCTAAATGAGCTTATATAATATTTTTTAATGTGATAAATGTGTTAGATTTAGTGTAAACCTTTGGTGTATACTGCAGTTTTTTTTAACCACTTTTGGGATATCATTTTTACTATTTACATAAATACTGGGGACCTTAAAAATTGGAAGTTCAGGCTTCTGTCAACCTTTGAGAAGCCCTGAGAAAATATGAAATATTTTTATTAGAGACCCTGCTTCAATTATAAAAGGAAAAGTCTGTCTGTAAATTGAAGGCTATGGAAACCTTTAAAAAGAAGGAGAAAAGAACAAAGCTATGCACTTTTGTATACTGAAATAATTGATCCTTGTATTTAGTCATTCTGAGATAAGGCATTGAATAGCAATGATGTAGGGATTAACAATTTATGGTTCACATGGGTTAAAAATTATTAGTATATTTTGAAAGGTTTTTATCCTTTAATGCTTCCATATGGAGGATGATGATTGTAAAAGAATTTTGGGAAATTCATTAGAATTTACAGAGTCCTGTTCTATTTTTCCATGTCTACATTAAAGCAATACATGAATGTAAGAAGCTTTTAAAAATGCAGATGTTTATAAAAAACATCAGTATTTCTGGCTTTAAATAGCTAGTAAGTATAAGTATTACTGTTATTGAAAAATATTCAGCTTGGATTTATAGTTATAGTAATTAATGAAATTATTAACCTGCTGAAAGATAATGGAGTAAAGATTTGAAAGAAAGCATATTTTAGCTAGAACTGCTAACTTAGCTTAAGGAAATGTGCCCCAACTTTAGTGTGTCAAGAGATGTTAAAGTGAAAGTAGGTTAAAACTAAAAATCTCAGCAAAATTATTGGTTATGTGGAAGTGAAATGGAAAAAGTTTGGGGTTCCTGGAAATCATAGAAAGATTAATTTTACCTGTCTCTAAGTTTCCTTGCAAACTCTGCCTGTGAAAAATATATAAGGTTTAGTCAGTAGTATGAAAATCTCATCTCGTTTTATAAAACACCAATTTAAGGTTTAATAGACTAGGTTAGAGAAGTAGTTCTTAAACTTTAATGTGGCTCTGTATCATTTTAGAGGACTTACTAAATCAGAGATTGCTGGGTTCCACTCTCAGAGTTTCTTATTCAGTAGCAGTGGACTGGGGCCTGAGAATTTGTATTTTTAGTAAGTTGTCAAGTGAGGCAGATGCTGCTTATTGAAGACCATCCTTTAAGACCCCCCCGGATTGAGTGTTATTGAGAACCCAGATTGTGTGTCTTTATGTGGGTCTATAAGAATGAGCACTTACTGTTACATAAATTTTTTTGTTTTCCAAACTAATTTTTTATGTTAATCATAATAAATATACATGGAAGTCAGTATTTTAATTGGTCAATTAGGTAAACTTTTAAAGTAAAAGAAATGGTTTGTTAAAAAAAATACTGTTTCTTTGGCACTAAAATGTAGCAAGATGTGGAACAGAAGAATGGATGCTGCATTCTTACCTCCTTGAGGGCTGTCTCCCTCACTGGCTGGTTGGTATCTTTCACTGGCCCAGGTGCAGGGCCTTACTCAACAGCAGTCACTTAAAACACACTAAAGAAGAGAAAGAAATGTTCTTCTTAACATAACAGGAAATATTTAACACTATACCTGATAAAGGAAATCACCTTAGTTTATTCTGTCATTATTTCTTTTATTACTTAGCCAAAATAGTACCTCTGCACGTTATTTTCTATAATTTCTGTTTAATTTTCAAATACTTTGTCCTCAAAAATAGCTTTTTACTTATGTGTAAGTTTAAGTTCTTATGTGCTGATCACAATGCATCTACTTAATTAATTACAAGCCTTGGTTGATTACCATTTAGTAATATAAATATATTCATATCTATAGTTTTAGCATAAACAATTGAAATAACATGTTCCATCTTGATGGGGGAAATACAAGCTATCATGAGGTTGTAGAACATAACTGTGAGTCTTCAAAGCTATCTCTTAATATTCAAGCAGCACCAAGCATCATTAAGGTGTTTCTTTGATCTAGCTTGCAATATTAAAACACCGTTTTAGCTTGGCCTTATGCCATATAGTACAAGAGAGATTCATTGTGAGATTAAAATGGATGATTTCTCTCTCAATTTGTGTGAAAACAGACTTCATAAAGACTCCAGAATACTTCCCCTACTACCTTAGTATGATGTTTTTCCATTTTATCTGATCCTTTGATTCAAGAGGTTGAAGAAAATAATAAATATTCAAGAAGTAGGAGTTGTAGAATTAATTTTTTTTGCTCCTCTGAAAGTATGTCTTTGAAATAGTGTTATAGGAAGTTGTTAAAGAGAAATAGCAGAGAAAATTGAAATGCCCTGTACATTATGGATTGACAAATCCAATATTCTTAGGCTTGAGGCTTTTTGACTGAGCTCTCCACCAAACATTTGAATTAGAGAACTGTGAGTAGAAAAAAATGAAAATTTAATTGGGAATGGGAAAATTTATGCATGTAGTTTTTCTCCCTCA